CGAGCTCTCATATTTCGATCGATATACAATTATTGAAGGCTCTAATATATGAAACGAAAATGTCAAGACAATTGAATGACAATTTAAAACATTGCGGTAATTGGTAAACTCACATTTAAACGGGATGAAGGCAAAAAAAGTGTCTTATGCGCTGATATGCTAAAACGATGGTAATACGAGGCCTCGGAGTGAAAATTTAGTTGACACGAAAATCACAGATGGCGTATGGTATCTCTCTGCAGTCAATGAGGGCCTCAGAAACCACGAATTCAGAGGATTTCTGGAGTTTGACTTCGATTTATTTATAATTATTGGACGAAAGCGATAGGTGAAGTATGCCATTTAGTACAATACCCAATATAATTCCACACAGTTGTCAATATAAATACGAACGTCGGCAACGTAAGCATTTAAAAAAATCTTCTTTATCGACGTCGATCAAGTTCCTCGACGTATTTCACTTCACCTTAATTTTGTTGAAAAGACTTCTTGTCTTAGAATTCATTACCTAGAAATATAAACTGCACCGCACGGGTAATAAAGCCCGACACAGTGCACCACAGCGCCACCAAAGGTCTTTTTAAAAAAAGAAAACAGAATGTGGCTAGCTGTAGTAAATACATCATCAACAATAATTGAGAAACATATCTGAGGAAAAGCGAAGCCTGGCACCTCAAAGAAGAACGAGAACTGATACTGTAGACTTCATCAAGAAAGTAGGGTTACCGATATACGGCAACGTGCTCTGTACAAGAAATGGTTTTACGAGGAATGTTCAAGGAAAACATTCAAGGATCTTGATTATACAACTTGCCCTAACTGTTCAAAATTAATGTGCAGTCGGTTGGATCTTCCTACCGATGTCTGTATGCCTTATTACCCACACGTTCAGGTAACAAAGAACAGTAGCATCATACTACAATTTTATTAATTACGATTTTGTTTAGAATTGTATTTTGTTTATAGTTTGTGGCCGAAGTAAATATTGTTCACATACACTTTGGCCATATCCCCCCATACCCCCGAAATACTTCATATCTTAGCTTTTACAAGCGTTTTAAGTTATAATGGGCCTTATTACCTTGAGGTACCTTACACAATAATAGTACATCGTGCACTAAGGAGGCAAGGTGGGTCCCTTAAGGTGAAGTGAAACACGTCGATGAACTTGATCGATGTCGATAAAGAAGACTTTTCTAAATACCTACGCTGCCGACGTTTGTTGTTATATGGACAGCTATGTTGAATTATATTGGGTATTGTACTAAATGGCATACTCCACCTGTCGTTTTCGTACAATAAATATCAAGAAATCGAAGTAAAACTCCAGAAATCCTCTGGATTCATGCTTTCTGGGGCCCTAATTGACAGCAGAGGGACACCCTGCGCCATCTGTGATTTCCAGGTCAACATAATTTTCCCTCCGAGACCTCGTATTCCCATCGTTTTAGCATAGAAGCGCATACAACACATTGTTTGCCTTTATCCCGCTCAAATGCGAGTTTATCGATTACCAGAGTGTTCTAAATTGTCGTAAAATTGTCCTGACCCTTTCGTTTCTCATATCGGAGCCTTCGATAATTGTATATGAGAGCCCGGCGCTATTTTGGTTCTGGTCTGGGTTGAGTTAAAAAATTTGGTTATAAAAACCAAATTTTGAATGCGTCAGGACAATTCTTAGATGATCAGGAGTGATGTGTCAAAGTTTCGGCCAGTTTGGTCCAATACCCTTAAAAAAAAAGTATTGTATTCGAACCGACTGATTTGAAGGGGGTTCCACTTCACCTAAAGTCAAGCCCAACCCGGTTACTCCTCCGAAAGGGGTCTACAATGAATCACCATTAAGCCAAAGCCAACACATTGTAGACCGTGAAAAATCCTAATGGAAATATTCCATATAAATCAGGGTTCGAGCCTCCAGAGTAGGCACACTACCTGAGGTCGGCTTCCCCTTTCCAAGGCGGAATCAAAAAGTCCCACGAGCCCCTCGTTCGACCCATTCAGCTCATTTGAGTCATTCCACGGGCTGAATGCGTAACAATCAACCGAGCTCTCGACTGCTCGGGTGAGCTTACCTTCCCAGTTGTCGTCGAACAGAAACCTCGTCCATTCGAGTCGGACAGCTGAAAGGCCAGGGAGAAGAGTCCGGCGCGTGCCGCGGATGGGCAGGTGCTGAGAGGGATGTAAAAGGGCTCAATTCATTCCGAAGTAACCTGCTTCTCTTCCAACATGTATTTCGAAAGAACCTATTGACTGGCGCGCCAGTGAAATTAGTCGCCATGAGAACTTGGCCAAGTTATTTTTTCAACTTAAGGTGAAGTGAAACCCCCTTCATATCAGACGATTCGAATACAACACTTATTTTTAAGGCGATAGGACCAAACTGTCCGAAACTTTGACACATCACTCCTGATCATCTAAGAATTGTCCCGTCACATTCAAAATTTGGATTTTTGGAAAAATTTTTTTAACTTAGCCTAGACCAGAACCAAAATGTCGTCGAGCTCTCATTTCGATCGATATACAATTATCGAGGGCTCTGATATAAGAAACGAAAGGGTCAGGACAATTTTACGACAATTTAAAACACTCTGGTAATCGATAAACTCGCATTTGAACGGGATAAAGGCAAAAAATATGTTTTATGCGCTTCTACGCTAAAACGATGGGAATACGAGGTCTCGAAGAGAAAATTTTGCTGACCTGGAAATCACAGATGGCGCAGGGTATCCCTCTGCAGTTAATTAGGGTCCCAGGAAGCATGAATCCAGAGGATTTCTGGAGTTTTACTTCGATTTCTGTATAATTATTGTACGAAAACCACAGGTGGAGTATGCCATTTGGTACAATATCCAATATAATTCGACACAACTGTCAATATAAAAACGAACGCCGGCAACGTGGGCATTTAGAAAAATCTTCTTCATCGACGTCGATCAAGTTCCTCGACGTGTTTGACTTCATATTAAATTATGCAGAGACCAGTGCACGATACAGGAGATTATGCCTTTAGTCAGTGAGTAAAAAAGCCCTGGGTGGTCAGAAACATTCAAATATTTCGGAAGGAGGTGGAGAATTTCGATCCAATCTTTTTCTTGAGAAGAAGTAGCTCTCGCTACTCGGTACCTGACAAACAGAAAGATCGCCTCGATCGTTGAGTGTCCACTTTGTTAGCGTAATGGCGCCGGGATACTCCTCTTTGTTTATCGCCTGGTTATCTGTTGCAATAAGTTAGCAGAGGCCGCGGAACAGCCGAGGCGGAACGACAGTTCTCGAGGCCTCGCGGACTTTTCAGAGTTTTACTTCAAGAGTTGAAGCGAACAGGATATCATACCATATCAATATCGTACCATAGCAATGCTGATGTCAACATCAATTGGTTGTACCGGCAAATCCATTCGATTTCTCCCCACATGAACGAAGAATCTTATTTCGAGTTAGCGAGAAACCTGAAGGGTGGCAAGAATGGAAATCCTGAGTTCCGAGTAATTGCAATTTCCGTTCCTAGCAAGAACGGTTCGAGATCAGCGCCAAACATAAACCGGGCGCTATCGGCGTGACGCGATGTTCCATAAAAAAAAAAATAAACATTTACTCGGAATTAATATTTTCCTTGACATGGCTTGTCTTTTTTTCCAGTGGTTCATCTAGTTTGTCTAGAGTTGAACACAAATTATTTGTCGGCGGAATTCGACCGAACGGCGTGACCGCTGCCGAGAGCCAAGAAAATTGCGCGACCGAGAAGTGATGCCATCTGATAGGAAGTGCTAGATAACTCCGTCATTTTTTAACCCTTTCGCGACGGCGTACCTGTACCATACTTCGTCACTTTTCGCAAAAGCGCGACTGACCATACTTTGCCGTCTTTCGCGACGGTGCATCTGTACCATACTTGCCGCTGTAAGCTAATAAAGGTGCCCATAATTATGAAAGTGGTCTAAGTCAAAATTAAAAAAGAAAAATGAGTTTATCAGTTATTTCACGCCATATTATTTCAAACGAAATTTCAAACGAAACAAAAAATATATGACAGACCACTTTCATAATTATGGGCACAAATGACTGCCGTGTATAAGCGGCGTCAGCCTCAGTGGGCCAAAAAGTGGCTGCCGTATGTAGACGGCGTCAGCCGCTGTGATGCACCAAGTGGCTGCCATATACAGACGGCACCCGTCGCGAAAAGGTTAAGGGCGCTCACCACTCCAGCGATTTTGCAGGGCCTCACGGGGACAACGATTCCGAACGTATTTCTAAACCGATCGAGCTCAACGAGTGCTCATATCGAAGATGAAACGTTGACCTGTGTTTATATGGGAGCGATTTTCGATAAGTGGTCATTTTCATATAAAAAAAGTGCAACGACATAATTTCAATGCCCTTTTACCTAGGAAGGAGGTGCTCGATAGAAAATCGCTTCCATATAAACACACGTCAACATTTTATCTTTAAAACGAGCACTCGTTGAGCTCGATCGGTTGAGAAATACGCTCAAAATCGTTGTCCCCGTGGAGCACCTTTTTTAGGATTTTCGAGTTTCTCGCGAGAAATTTGGGCATCCCTTGGCAACCGTTGCCGACTCTAGGCGGAGCGTCCACCTGGCGTGTGAGTGCGACCGGGAGTCACCCACGTTTCGGCGCCTAGTCCAGAGGCGTCTAGCCGTTGTGTGAGTCCTATACGTGCAAAATACGCACACATTTTTCACCCGTTGCTAAACACCGCCCATTATGCGTCGCGTCTCCCTCATCCGAGCGAGAAAGTACGTTTTGGTTACCTCCCACCGAATTCGATGCTAATGCCATCTAGCGGTGGAAGTCATCGCCCACACTTTGGTGGTAAACGCCGTTAACACAGAGCTCAATGCTTTTCATCCCGCTTGCGCTTTCCAAATCAGTCCGATCGATCACACGCACTTTTGTGACGATCGAAGGTGCGTACCCTCTGCCTGGCGATGCTCGAAATGGGGAAAGATAGAGAGAGAAATGTTCGGAAAGGATACTAACCGACATGAGCAAAAGAACGCACGGTGTTGGCCGACCTTGCGTGGATACCCGGTCGGGCGATGTCAGCCATGCCGATGACGTTTTGCTTCTTGTAGAGCCTCTTGAGAGGTTCCGGGACGTAGGCCGGACGCTGGGGTCTGGGCCTTTTGGCGAAGCCCAGCAAGGAGAGCAGGCTCGCTTCCACGCCAGCGATCGCCTGCTCGCGTTCCCCAGCCGCGAGCTTTTCCGCGCTGCCGGTCGCGCCGCCGACAGCGCCACCGGTCGCGCCGTCGGTCGCGCCGACGGTCGCGCTGGTGTTCCTGTTTCCGCCGGGCCCAGCGCTGCTCTCGGTGCCCTCGCTTACGCTCGCTAGCAGCGCACCTAACACCACTCTCAGCAACGGCAACATGCGCATCGTGACGTCACTCACTGACACTACCTCTCCTGAAACAAATAAAAGGTTCGCCGATTAGACCAGGGTGCCCCTGAGAATCCAGCTCCGAGTCAAAATCAACTAAATCTCCCGAACGAGTACTATCTCGAGCCGAGTCTTGCAGGCTAGACTGCCACTACCTTGCGATCGTCATTTTGTCGACGACGGCAGCGCCCTCTAAAGATTAATCTCCCCGAGAAGTGTCGCGCTATCGGATACACCGGTAAATAAACATTCGGTTTATCTTTGGGGAGGAGGCGACGTGGATCAAGGATAGAAGCAGAGCAGAGAGTTCCATTTTATATTTGGGAACAAAAGCCCTCTGGTTGCGAGTGGTCATGGACAGGGTTGGGTAGTGACGCGACATTCGAGGTTTTTTATGTAAAATACTTAAGGTAAGTATTTCACGTAACATTTAAGTAAAATACCTAAAAAATTACCCGACAAGGATGGCGGTGTAGTAACCTCACTTTTTTAAAGTAGTTAAAATATAAATCACTTGCGAATAAACATTTTAGTCAAGAAAAAGAATGAAATGCATATCAGTTCGTATGACCGTTAGGAACAGGAACAGGAAATCCAGAAACGTAAAAACCCATATTCATGTATTTTGCATCACGGATAAAACTAAAGTAAAATACCTAGTAATTTACTGTAAAAAGCACGTAAATTACCTGGGGTATTTTACTTACCCAACCCTGGTCATGGATACGCAAACCATGGAGAGTAGAGACCAAGGGGACGAACACAATGTTATAGAAGTTTCCGCATGTTCGGGTACGGATCTTTCTTTGTTAGGCGGCGCCATATTCGCTTAGGGACCACTACTTGAATAAAGCGCGGGCATGGATTTAAAGACATACAATTGCAATCGGTTATACCGTCCAAACAAACTAAGATAAAATATCCAATGCATATTTTATGAATAAAATACTTTTGTGAGCATTTAATTGTGACATATGTAAGTAACAAAGTTTTGGCTGAGGTAGTAGAACGTAAGGTTCTCCAAGTTTTCAATATGATAGGTCTCCCGCGTTGTTTGAGATGTACAAGATTGCGTTCTTCAAGTTGGTCCCTTAGCGATAGCGTTGCCAGCTACAGAGAAAATGTCAAACAATGTTCCGTATCCTTTTTCGCGGACACGAGCTCCCATAACCTATCCTATGCAGTTCGTCCTCCTGGTCTCTAGTCTCCATGACGCAAACCCTCGACCGTGAGTACTTTTAGTCGACGAAAGCAACGCCGGAATGACCTCATCTTGAAATAACGCGAATGTACAGAGGGTACCGCGTAATTTTGCCACTCGGATTGGCTCTTTTTACCGTTCGTCGGGTCGGAGAGTCGCGCGGTTTCGGGTCCAATCTACTTAAAAAGCTTGCTCGGGAATCCTAGAAAGTCAGGGCAACCGCGGCTACCGCTGCAGTGGCGTAATCTTGGAATTTCCGATCGCGAGGCGAGCGAGATCAGCGTGCGAAGTAACCACGACGAGCGGTAACTAGTAACTCGCCTATCGCAGCGGCCGCTACTCACTTCTCGCCTCCCGCGGACGCGCGAACGAGGAGAGGGCCGCTCACGGGCAAGCGAACCGGGGCCAAACACCTGCGCGCTATATCAGCTTTCTCTCCGCAGCCGATCGTTGCTTTTTCATTTTTCACCGAAAGGCGCGAGAACAGCTCCTGAGCGCGAATCGTCGCGCTATTCGCCGGCGGTTCCGCGTGTCGCATCGAAAGAGGACTTCCACGCGCGTGGATCGATTCCAGGCAATTCACACGCAGAGAAATAATAATGTAATCATTACATATGCTGGCGGGTGAAAGTGTCGGTGTCGCCATAACAATAATTATTGCAGATGTAATTACAATTTTTTGTCCTTTTAAGGTGAAGTGGAACCCCCTTCAAATCAGTCGATTGGAATACAATACTTTTTCTTAAGGGTATTGGACCAAACTGTCCCAAACTTTGACACGTCACTCCTGATCATCTAAAAATTGTCCTGACACATTGAAAATTTGGTTTTTATAACCAAATTTTTTAACTCAACCCAGACCAGAACCAAAATGGCGTCGAGCTCTCATTTCGATCATCAATATACAATTATTGAGGGCTCTGATATAAGAAACGAAAGGGTCAGGACAATTTTACGACAATTTAGAACACTGGTAATCGATAAACTCGCATTCGAACGGCATAAAGGCAGAAAAAGGGTCTTATCCGCTTCTATACCAAAACGATGGTAATACCAGGTCTCGAAGTGAAAATTTAATTTACCTGGAAATCACAGATGGCGCAGGGGGTCCCTCTGCAGTCAATTAGGGCCCCCAGAAACCATGAATCCAGAGGATTTCGGGAGTTTTACTTCGATTTCTTGATATTTATTGTACGAAAACGACAGGTGGAATATGCCATTTTGTACAATACACAATATGATTCAACACAGCTGTCAATATAACGACAAACATCGGCTACGTAGGTATTTAGAAAAATCTTCTTTATCGACATCGATCAAGTTCCTCGACGTGTTTCACTTCACCTTAACCATTGCAGCTGTAGCACCAACTGCAGAATTCTTGTAAATAAATTGTAGTTATATTTAAATCTGGCAGCGTTATATATATAACATTGGAAAGTAAAAATTACACGTATAAAGGCACGGGTAAAAATGACCATCGCAGTTGTAAAATTGAAAAACAAGAACTCTATTGAAAACCGTATAATATGCCGTAGCACTAACACGTAGGAACGTTATCGTAAAATATATCTGTATCAAGCGACTAATTTGGCGCAGTTTTTTCTCACCGAAGGTTCTTTTGTGGGATATCTTAAATGAAATCCATAAGAAACCTTGAAAAATGTACCGCTTGAGATACTTAACAAAGTTTTAAAAATATTTAAAAAATATGATATGCTGCAAGGGGTGATTGTTTCACGAATCAGTACTGATTCAATTAATAATGAATTCATATCCCATTACCCGTTAGAGAAATAATGAATAATGCGTTGTTTTTACATTACAATGTTTGTAACCCTGCATCTAACATTTTCTGCATATTTTTTTTTAAACTGCTGCAAAAATCTCAACCGACAGAGTTTTTCAGATGTAGAATAGATTTCTTTTCAAGATTTCTAGAACATTTGTAAAAAATCTCTATGATCTATTTTGTTTTAATAATTTATAAACATATCAAAATATTTATAATACATTTATTACCATGAGCCCATGATTTACGAAATGCAGTTAAATTTTTGCTTCGTATAGCCCACTCATCTCTAACTCGAAACAAAAACTATGATCTTCACAAAAACAACTTCAGTGTAAACAATTTGCGCCAAATAAATCCTATTAGAATAATCCCTATTGCAAAGTCATATCTAGATAGTGGGGACTACTGAAGTAGAACACTATCGTGGCCAAAACATGGCGAAATATTGGTCCATTACGTGAATGTTGGCTAATATATAGCCAATAATTTGATAATGTTGAAATTCATTTTTATTTTAAATATT